CCATTTAGTGAGACTGATCGCTGATTAATGTTTTGGTTGGTGAAGTTGATGTACGTAGATTTGGTTTCATTGAAGTTGATACGCCATTACGTGTCCAGGTGGCGATATTATCAGCTGCTCGTTGCAGATTTGTCGTTGATTCCTCGATTGTGTTTCCTGTCGCCATCACTGCGGTGTCGTCCGCAAATGTGGCAGTCGTGCAGTTCGGCGTTTGTGATGCGTCATTGATATAAAGTAAAACGCTTCCCTGGGGTACACCGGCTCGGATTTCTTTAATTCTGATTGCGTATCTTCGTGTTTGATGCGTAATTTTTGCTCCTTAAGGTATGATTTGAGGCGTTGATAGTACGAATCAGGAAGAATCAATTTTAGTTTATGTATCAGGCTGTGGTGCCATACTCGATCAAATGCTTGTGCTATGTCCAGAAATACTGTCGAGCATACTTTTTTATCTTCAAGAGATTTTTCTATGACATCGGTTATTCTGTGCACTTGGTCAATAGTTGAGTGCTTACTGCGAAACCCAAATTGGTGAGATGGGACAAGTTGGTATTTTTCGATGATTGGTTTGAGATGTTTCAGGATCAGTTTTTCAAACAGCTTCGACTTAATCGGTAACAGTACAATTGGCCGATATGATTCTACTTCAGTGTGGTTTTTGCCAGGTTTTCTTATCATAATTATTTCTGACACTTTCCAAGATCCTGGTACGTGCCTTAGTGTGATTGAGGCATTGATTAGTGTGGTTAGTTTTACTAAGACTTTTCTTTGAAATTTTTTAATTATTGTACCTGTGATATATCGAAGCCAGGTCCTTTCTTCGGGTTGAGGTTTGTACGAATTTCTTCAGCTACTTCTTTTGGTGTGACTTGCGGGATTTCGTCCTCATAGTCGTTTGGGTCGAGTTCAGGCAGTTCATCTGGTCCTGGGTTAGGCAGGACCTACTTTCGAGGTGTTATTGCGGGCCCACTGTCCATCAGGTTACCGGATTGGGGTTACCTGTGTGATAGGGTGTTTGAGGTACTACGCTGCTTTCCACAGAGAGTATTCCGTGCTATGATCTGCGGTCAGGTCGGTAAGAAATTTGCTAGTGCTCTGATCTCTTTCGTTATTTATTGCGCAATCCTGTTTAGGTTGCTTTTATCCTATGGCGCCCGTGTTTGATGCCAGCGCCTTCTTAGTTTTCGTTTTTCAGCAATCACGTCCCTGAGCTCTTTATGGTAGTTCAGTCCCTTGAGCTTTCTTTTCATGGTGGGTGTGCTTTCCAAGCTGCGTCCTGGATGGCAATGGTAAAGTTTTTCCACTTCGTCTTCTAATTGGTGAATTGTTTTGAGTGGAGCCCTCAAGTTAATATTGTTTTCCAGAAGGAAGTTAAAGGACTCCCAGTCTGTGCCCTTGTTTATCAGGACGGGGTTCTGGTCTTTTGTTATAATAAGTTCACTGATTGTTAGCAGAATTGGTGAGTGGTCAGAACTCAGATCATATCCCTCATCAATTCTGATGTAGTTTGCTGAGACGTTTTTGTTGACAAAAAAGTCAATCAGATCAGGCGTCTAGTTCGGTTCGGTTGGCCAGTATGTGGGCTTTCCAGTAGATACGAACTCACACCCGTAGTCCATGGCGGCTTGGTACAGTTGGCGCCCTTTTGGTGTGGTTAGTCTAGATGCCCACTGTGTATGTTTCGCGTTGAAATCACCTCCAATGACGAATCAACCATTTAGTTTCCGGAAGAGTTCTAGGTACTGGTTTGCCTAAATATTATAACGCGGCGGGCAGTATATTGCACTTACAGTGCGTGTTTGTTTTGTTCTCGCTATTGTTACAGATGTAGCTTGGATATCGCTGGTAGCGCACTTTTCTTCTTCGTAGTGTTTTATATTGTCTCGAATTATAATGGCACTTCCACCGCGAGCCGTATTAGCAGGGTGAGTGATATGATATGATTTAGAAACTTAATGTGAGATTCTCTAGTGAAATGGGTTTCGGATATCAGACAAATATCTATGTTCTCGGTGCTTAGGATTGCTTTCAGCTCGTCTTTATGTTACAGCAGTCTATTCGCATTCCATTCCATAATGAGTAGGGAGTTAGGCATTGGTGATGTTAGCTTCGAGCCTGTCGAGTCGCTGCATGATTTGCTGCAACATCGTTTCTATCGAGTTTTGTTTTTTCCCCGCTGTTACCTGGCTATATGTCCGTCGGGTTGGGTTTGGCGCTGTTGATTTGTTAATGTTAGTTGCTTGGTGTGGCGACTCATTTGATTGTGATAGTGTGGTCCTCTTGTTTACCTGTCATGTTGGGCCCTCAGGATGCGCTTGGCTCTTGGCAGAGTTATTTCTGAATTTGAGGAGGTCTTTGTACACTTTGCAACCACGGTAATATGCAGGATGGTTCTCTCCTCAGTGCTCGCATCCCTAGGACATGTGATAGGAAAAGTGACTTGCTAAACTGAGCTGCTGGCACAAGTTGGGCGATTTTAGTGCAACGTGAAGAAGGGTCGTGTGTGTGGCAAGCAGTCCGCAAGTGGCCCGTCGTGACCTTTGTGCTGGATGAGCCAACATTCACATTTCGTCCCACATCTGCTTGATGCTCTTGAAGATGAGAAACTAACGGCACCGCCGGTACAACTGGACAGCTCTAAGCACATTTTTGTCGGCACGAAGAGAATGACACCTACTGAAAGCGTCTCATATATTTTTTTGGTGAAGAAATTATATCAATATTATTATTATTGTTATTATTCTACGAAATTATTAGTACGAGTCCCGCTAGGGGCAAGATTTTTCTCCTCACTACGACGTCCAGACCGGTTTTAGAGCTCACCCAGCTTCCTATGAAATGGGCGCCGGAGATTCTTTCCCCTGAGTTAAAGCGACCGGAGTGTCAAGCTGACCGCTCACCTCCAACTACTGTCGAGGTCAAGAATACGTGGATATAGATATGTGTACTCCCCCATTCGCCTTCATGGCGTAGTGCTTAATTAGTCAAGCATAGGGAGATATTTAATTTTTTCTACATTTTATTGTCTGTTTTCGCTTTTAGTATATGTATTGTTTTATTTTTGCTTCTTAAGATGACTTTGTATCAGTGTCAGTATTTTTCCGTCATCTCGTGTAACATGAAAATATGTTAACGATTCAATTAGCAGTTATACAAGACTAAAGATGGCTATGTACCTTACTTACTTAAGTACTTACATTTTTTTTATTGCTAGTGGGGTGGGACTAAGTCCCTTGTACTGCGGCCACTTCTGGCCTATTGTACCAGCCCCAGATGATAGGTGAGGGTGATTGTGGAGCAATTGGTGGAATGAAGATTGACAGGGGAAACCGAAGTACTCGGAGAAAACCTGCCCCAGCGCCACTTTGTCTACCACAAATCCCACTTGACCAGACCCGGGATCGAAACAGGGCCGCCGCGATGGGAAGTCAGCGACTAACCGCATGAACTATGGCGCGGCCCTACGTACTTACTTACTCATAGAGCTGAGCCCTTCTTGAGAAGCCCCCAATTGTGCAGCTGCTCAAGAACTTCACAATATTTTACGGAACCCGAGGTTCATAACCGTGTTCACAAGAGCCGTCCAATGATCCCTATCCTGAGCGAGATCAATCCAATCCATACCATTCCATCCTATCTCTCTCAGTTACATTTTAATATTGTCCACCACGATGGTTATGTGACTACTCGAATAAAGTCAGTGCATTTCGGATGTTCTGAAGATCACACAGAATTTTTGCCTGGAATCTGAAAGAAAGGTCTGAAATTCTAAAAGCGGTGACTATGAAGAGAACTAGGCAATATTTTCAGGGATTTGATGCTGTGCAGTCTGGTAGTACTTTACTAATATTCCTCGGAAACATGGGTAAATTACCAGGTTCTGCGGCCTCCCATCAGATCAACATGGGCCCACAGCATATGTCAGTTCTCTCGTGTGAGGTATTCCTTCTGTTTGTGAAAGATAAACTATTTTGCGGGCTTGACGGCCGAGGAGTCAGGGTTCAATTCCCGGCATTGGAAAAAAAAATCCTTTCCACCTCAACGTCCAGACAGCCTCTGGGATTCACTCAGCCTCCTATCAAATGGATACCGGGGGGGGGGGGGTTGAATAGGAGGTAAAGAGGCAAAGGTTTAAGCTGACCACTATCTGTGATTTAATGCCGAGGTTAAGAATGGTGGAGCTTTGCCTCCACTCACCAATGCGCCTTCATGGTGTGATGTTTAATTAGGCTTAAGAATAAAGTCACCTATCTACAGTGTCGCTGTATTTTCTTTACAGTTTCTTATATGTTCAGTCTTCTTCCATTAGGTCTAATATTATTGACCAATCTAAGCAAAGATGATTGTGATTTATAGCTGTTTCTCCTCTCCTCTCCCTTCTTCACGGCTGCCTTGACGCAATGTACCTCAACGGTTATGGCACGAAAGCTACTAGGCGTATGACACAAAGCTGCATATAAATTCTGCAATCTCCGAGCAATATGTTTCACATCTGGTATGACATGTCATAAGTCAACATAACCTCAAATTCCTGATTCCGCGTAAAGTACCTCGTGGAATCATTACACAGGCCTGTGAAATTAACAGGAGAGGAGGTGTTTACGCCTGAATCCATGCCTGATGAGACGATTCATTGTTTTCCCTCCCACACATCTTAGACACCAATTTCATTGGAGGAAAATAAGAGCCAACCACAAACGTAGCCACGCCTAAAGACACCGTGATTGGCAGAAATATTAATGAACCGAAGCGGTAATGGCTGGTTAGACGTCCAGCCGGGAGCACTGTACCATGCAACTGTAAGCGATNGAGATAGTCTTCTTTGGGGGGGGGGGGTAGAAAGAAAAAGGGGAACTTTGAGGCCATTTTCTTCTCTGTTTATTGCTTTTATTAAGGACAGGATATTTTTGCTGTACCCTGGAAGGAAAAAGAGGGAGGTGTTACGCTAGATGTGGACGGGGTGTTTCTTCGTGACGTGTCTCGTCCGCCGCAGCTGATTGGAAGGGCAGTCACTGCTGATATTGACAGCATATAGGACGTGTACAGCTGCACCGAAGCGAAGTTACTTGGTGCTTTGTATAATTTTGTTTTCGTTAAGGAAAAATAAAATAAACAAAATTTTTTATTTTACTAGGTACATGTTCGTAAATAATAATCAAGTAAGGTGTATTTACGAAAAACAGTTTTACATCTCAGCGCCCCTTCTGTCTTGACTTTTCTTTTAATCATGTGTTCGATGTGATTACGGTTTTAATATGCAAAATATCGCAGTGTGGTGATTTCTCGCAATTGTGGGGCAATTTCCCTGAAGGATACTCCGTAATGAGGCTGGATCTAACTGGGAAATTGGTGAGACATTTAGACCAGAAGTGAATCAACAGGATACTGATAAAATATTCAGAGTCCTGTGCTCCCAACTGAAGCTACAGAAATGGATACTGGTGAGTAAAACTCTTATTTATGTTACTATTTATTTATTTTTATTGTCGTGGTGTTAGTAAAATTGTCCCTGTGTTTAATTAATTAATCACTACGCTATAATGGCGTGTGGGAGAGTGAATGTATTTTTTTCCCCCTTGGCGCTACAGCCCAAATTTGGGCCTTGCCTGCCTCCATGGAAATCTCCTTTTCACTTCGGTTTACTAGATCTTAGACATTCGGAAGCATTCCTTGGGCTGGTGATCAACTCGTCGCAAGACCTCTTACTTACTTGCTTACTCATGGAGCTGAGCCCTTCTGGAGGAGCCGCCAATTCTGCAGCTACTCAAGAATTTCCCAGCATTTTATGGAACCCGAATGTTCATCACCGTGTTCGCAAGAGCCCTCCACTGGTCCCTATCCTGAGCCAGATCTATCCAATTCATACCATGCCT